TATTTTTTTTCTTGCGGACATGTTCCTCCCAACATTTTTCCAATTAACTAACAAAGATAATCTTTATTACAAGGGTCTGTCGGTCGCTATTTGTATTATGATCAATTCCTCCCAAAGATTTGAGGATGCTGTTGCAGATCCGGGATTTTTCAAAAGGGGGTTTGGCTGGGGTGTTGAAGTCCAAGATACCTTCTTTTTTTTCTTTTTTTCTTTTTTTTTGGGGGAGGGGTTTTTTTTGGGGGGGATGTGGTGGTGGGGTGGGTGTGTGTGGTGGTGGTGGGTTGGTGGGGGGTGGCGGGGGGGGGGGGGCTGGGCTGGGGCTTGGGGGGTTGGCTAGGGGCTGGGGATTGGCTAGGGGCTGGGGATTGGCTGGGATGCTGGGGGCTGGGGGTGGCTGGGGGGTGTTATATATTACATGTTCAGTCAACACATAAAAATACCGATGTTTGAAGCAGTGAATCGAGATTTTTTTCAATATTGAGTGATGACGTAATTCAGGGAATTGGTCTCAAGTAAGGTCCAGCCTAGTCGTCTTCGACTGAATCGCTTTATCACTGACATTGGCCAACTAAGGATACCCCATTACCCAAACTGGGCTAAATTCGCCACGACACTGTGTATATAGTATGCATGAAAGGCACGTGGCGGATCTACGGGGTGGGGAGTTTAGGGGGTCTAATCATACAGAAAAAGTACATGCCTGCTACACCCCCCCCTCCGAGCTCAAGCTGGAATCGCCCCTTAAATGACTTCCAGTAAACAATCATTTTGATTCGATTGAATATAATTGTGTGCCCTCTGGGCCTGCTTTACTAGGCGTGTCTTGCCTTGTCTTGTTTCTTTTATGTAAATAATTACTGATGGCACTTGTCTGTCGGGGTGGGGGGGGGGGGGTGCCGATCCGCAATTGTGTTGAAGTATAGACTGAGCTGTCATGGGAACAAACACATGACGTTCTTTAACCAATACCTGCCGAAATTTCATGAATCTGCTTTGCACAGACCCCCCCCCCTCCCCGTATAATGTAATCTCTTTCACTTCACTTTATTAGAAGTCCTTTTCTGCTTACCAGCTCCGGGGATAAGGTTTCGGTTGGCAGTAGTCCAGGCCTACTTGAATTGTACAGCACTTGAAAAGTGCCATGGCCTATCGGTTAAAAACAGTGCACTAATGCTCTGGTGTTTCAGAGGCAACAGTGACGTGGGTTCGAGCCCGGGCCGGGACACTTGTGCCCTTAAGCAAGGCACTTGCTTCGTCCTTCGGATGGGACGTGACGCCGTAGGTCCCGTGTGTTGTAAAATGTACAATGCACGTTAAAGAACCCATACACTTATCGCTAAGAGAAGGGGTTCGGCCCGGTGTTTCTGGCAGTGCGATTATCTTCAGCACTTGTAAGGAAGAGGAAGTGTGAAACAAACAGCTCAGTGGAATTCCAGTTCCCAAGTTCCCATATTGAAGTTAGTTCTGCTTTTACTTTGTATTATACATGTAGTTTGCAGCTCCCGATCTCGTGCATAAAGTCATTAAGGTATTTAGCATAATGTCATATCAACAGCACTATATCAAAACTATTAGACACCAACGAATATACAAAACACATCCAGGAAATAAACATAATAGTCGCACAACGGATGTAGTATATGTGTGCTATCATTTTATCAATTTACTTTCACTCTTGATGTTAAATACAGATCTGCTGGTCTTTACTCGAGACGCCCACAAGTTCCTACCCGTGTGAACCAAAAAAAGCAGTACACGACCTGTATAGGCCTAGTCTGTATACAACTTTGTTTTAGCATGTGTGAGCTAGTGTCTCAGTAATAACCATCAGGAAAATGATGAATTTATCACTAATACACTTGAGCCAATTTGAAGTAGATCTGGGTGAACTTTCTTTGTGGAAAAAGAAATACACTCCTTACGTGGGAGAGACTGTCAAGTCTGAAGAATTCAAATTTCCAGAGCTGTTGCACACAATCACCTATTGAGTGGTATTATGTGGTAATCTTTTCAGAGGATTCGATTTTGGTTTCCCGCTTCTGGAGATAAACAATATGCTTTCCTTCGGCTGTGTTATCGTCATCATCTTGGCTGCCCATTTACCACAATCACAGTAAGTTGTTCCGTCCCAAGTGCGAAGAAAATTCTGATAATTTTCTCGATCAAATGTAAGACTCTGGAATTATTGTCAACCCCACTTCCACAGCGGCTGTACATCATTGGTTGGTCATTATATATGCGGTGATATTTTCTTAAATATCACAGCGATTCGATTTTGTTTCAGTGGAATTAGCAATGGTGTTTAAAGTAAGGAGAATTTAAAGTGAGACATTCTTGACGAAAACCTTAAAATAATTAACCGAATTACAAACCGTAATTAACAGAGTTGCGTCGGCTCAAAGTTGCAAAAGAGTGGTGTTAGAAATTCGTATTGTAACAAAACATTGCCGCTCAGAAGATGAGTGTACTGAAGTTACAAGATTACACATGGATTTACTAAAATATCCTCACTATTTTTCTTTTCATTTTGCTGTACGCAAATCTCAGTATTTCTGAAAATAAAAAAATGGACAAATAAAGTTTTGTTGTATTTCCTCTTCACCAGTGTTGTTAGACCACATTTAAGCCAGTGTTTCAACTGCTTTCTGGAAACTTCTATCTATACAAATATTCAAAGGTATAATATTTGTGATAAAAATGTGATAACCATAATTGACTGAAAATGACGTTATAAATTGTATACAAGGGGAACTGTCTGTGAATACGGATGCCCTCAGCGCTACTCAACGAAGTGTGGATTGTTTGGCTGGAAGCGCTGTGCAAGATACAGGTGAGCATGTAAATACGGTTGTCACGCGTGCTGATTATGTGATATCTGTAAAGCAAGCAAACTCGTCTCTGGATCTCTGGATTGTGACCGATTAAGGGGTGTGCGCTGATTAAAAACAACATGGCGCACATGCATGCTGTAAGGTTGGAGTACAGCAACCTCGCCCCCAGTGCTTACTATATTTCAACCTCGTTTCTAATAGTACGACAGTGGTGGGCGCGTACTGCTCAACACCCTGGGGCCGAGGTTGGGAGTACGGTTCTTTTTTTAGTTGCCTTTACAAAACGTGCCCGAATTTGTCTTTGAAATTGAAACGATGTATGTAGGGATCCATAACAGCTGACAATTGAATCAAAATCGTCAGCTGGTGGCTGTCGATCAATCAGTAGCACTTGTGTCGTTACAGATATTGCGTCTAGCATAAACTTTGGATGAGGAAATCTATTATTCAGACGTTCTCCAGTGGGCTCCGTATATTGAAAAACCCGCGTCATTATGACGGAACAACGTTTCATAAAATTGTGTGATTTCTTTTAATAGGACGTGACAGCAATACGCTTCATACGCTTTCATAATTCAAAAATTAGACAACAATTACACTTGATGTTGAACATCCTTGAAAAACAACGCTATTTATGATAGCGTGGCGTGTCCTTCAATATCTGAAAAATTGAAATTCGTAAACCAACGTTTGAATTTGCGAACTTAGACGAACATTTTATATTTTTCTTCGCAAGGCCTAAAGGTCTACAAAAATACGTGGGTGGAGGACAAAATCCAATGTAAAATCTTCCTGACGCAAATTCCATATGTAAAAAAATATTTTTTTTGGACACAACCATTGTTTGAATTTTGCCTAAAATATTTATCTTGAAGTCCGTAGTGATGGCGAGTTAGCGACACACTACACGTTTGAACACGGTTCACTCTTACAAGTTGTACGAGAGGGTCACCTAATATACCAGTAGTGCCAACGCGGGATTGTGAATTAAAAATATAACAAAGCGTGCGACCGGCCATGGAAAAGGGAATCTCCACATTCCATGTATGCATCACCTTTGACCGTACTGCGCATGTTGCTTCAGCGAATGGAACAAAAGAACGCACAGACAAAAAAAGACCGGTACAGAGTGCAGTCTCGCTGGGCAGATCATGTAAGCCCTATGGGGCTATACTGACGCCTGTTCTCATGTAACGATGAAACACCAGCAGAAGTTGCCGGACAACGAGCCCGCCTGACCTACTACAGGTAAAAAATCCTCAAGTATTCCCTTCTTTTTCGTGCGTATTTTTATTGTAAGAATTATTGCTAGTATTGTTTAGGACTAAATAATATGCAGGATAATATACGTGCTGATATATTTTGTAGATTTTATTTTTTTCGACAAAATTAACTTTAGGTTTTCCTGTCCAGTTTCATACCTTGCTCAGTCGGTTATGCAAAGCTTTAAAAAAAATTGCATGGAAATTCGATTTAAATTTTACAAAAGGAACTCAGTTATGTTCAAGAAAAGCAAAACATGACTTTTAGAAAGACTTATAAAGTAATGTATGGCTATTTCAAAGCAAACCACGAATGCTTGAGTAGGAAATATGAAATATGCATAACAAAACTGTCAAAGGTATAAAGCGTCTAAGTAAGAGAAGGGGCAATATGACTTTTTAAAAAATTATATGTAATAAAGATCAAACCAGTTTGTTAATTGGCGCATACGTGTAGATACAATGTCATCTATAAATAAAAGATATAATAAAAATCATATCAATTTCTTAACATTAAACTGATTTTCTCATCGCGAATACAATTGACGTTTAGTGAAATGTAAGTATCAAACTTAGTTGACTTCTGTACTCTGTAGTTCTATTGAACTCTTGTTGTAAATTGATACGCGAATTCAATGCGAACTCGAAAACCAACAAAATGGGATTTGCTTGCATGGACAATTTTGACAACTGGATTATTGGAAAAGTACGCGGAATTAAATGTTCTAACTGCGTATTGGAACTGTATTCGTGCCCGGATCTCTGAACTTGACTTCTTGAAATGGGATGAGCATTTTGTCTGATTGAGTGAAAAGTTGTGAAATTAGACGGGAATATTATGGTTATTTCAGGACGAATCGACTCTGCTTTGCCATCTTACTGGAGAACATCATGATTTTCGTCGGCTTTTTGTAATCCTTCTGGCTGTCAGTTTACCACTCTCACAGTAAGTGTCACTGAATATTTTATTCAGAGTACGCCCCCCCCCCATGAAATCAAACCGTCCGGTGTGATAATAATGAGGCGATTATAATCCACAATAAAATCCTCTTTTAGCTTTTTATATCGTCTCAAGTCCAGATTAATTCCAGTCAGATTTTCTAATTTTGAGGAGATTGACTATGTTGTAAAATAATAACACAGAGAAACGTGAGAAATGATTATTTTGCTTAAATACCCAATGAATGAATCGAAAAATGTTGGTTTGAGAAACACATGGTACTAGTACTATATTGTTGAAATTGTAACTGAGGATGTACTAGTCATTCAAAATGTCCTATAAATGTGCGTACATTCTGAAAGCAAGTACGAATATTTTAGAGTTTGTATTTTGCATGTATATCTTCCTTTCGCCAGTGTTCAGTGTTGAAGACCCTGGAAAGGCCAAAAATAAATAGTTCTGCTTCCCATTACATGACATTCGAAAACAGGTACAGGTAGGTAGGGATTCTTATTTTTTGTTGGTCACTTTTTTTTAATGTACGATCATGGAGGCATCTGCGTGTAGTCAAGAGTAAAAGGTAGAAATTGATGGTTTTGGGTTTTTCTTCTCATTTTCCCCATAAAACAATAAGGGTAGGGGCTGTCAGAATAGTGTAGGTAGGGAAACCGGAAGCAGAACTATTTCTTTTCGGCCTAAAGACCGATTACTTATACTCGGCGCGAAAGCGAACGTGAATTTGTGCAAATTCCGAAGTTGAACATAATTTCGCAGCGAATGTTAATGACGTCAAACTCGCTTTGCATTCGCATTAGGTATGAATAGGGCTTTAGACTAACTTTAGGACTACTCGCTGAAAACAACTCAGTCAAAATATTGACTGATTTTCCTATATAGTTACTGAAAATCGAATAGGAATTTAGTTAAAACATGCAAAGTTTCATGATATGACTAGAAAAACTAGTTGGATTTGATTCCAATTTTAGCTATATAGTCAATAGTATATAGTCAATAATACTGATTGGAAAAATATAGTCAGATTGACTGATTTTTCAGTTGCACCCAGCTGACCCTGAATAGCTAGTCAAATTTAACTGGTATGTAGTCAAATCTGACTTGTGCTTATATTGTGTTCCCCTTGTGTTTTTTAAAGGGGAGATGTATGTGGATACGGATGCTCTCAGCGCTACTCAACGTCGTGTGGATTTCTTGGCTGGGATCGCTGTACCAGACACAGGTAAGCATAATTGCCATGCATTCTCGGGATACACCTGCTATATCTATAGAGGGGACACATTTTCCGGTGGGCGGGGGGGGGGGGGGGTACATACCCTGGAGAGTGACACAAGGGTGGATCGGGGAAGGGGCAACGGGGGTCATCCCCCCCCCCCCCCCAAAAAAAAAACGAACCCAACTTCTTCTTTTTTAAGTGACCTAGCAAAACAGGCAGGCACTGCGTACACCACCATATTTTCTTCAAAACGATTTAGTTAAAGTGGTCAGAAATGGTCTCAGATCGCACCACAGAGCATCTACAATCCACACAAAAAATCGGGCCCCTTAAGCGGGCCCCGAACCCCATGCCGTAATGTTTGGGACCCACTTTTTGGGGGACCAAGCCCCCCCCCCCAAAAAAAAGGAAATTGTTTTCTTGATCCGCTCTTTGGGGACAACATTTAAAAGGTTACCCTGTCCCCGGGCAGATTTATAGAGTCGACGCAATGGACGACTCTAAGTAAATCTGTCCGGGGCAGATTTACGGGGGGTCGGAGGGGAGCAGAATAACCTTTTACAATACTGGCCTTGATTTTAAGTAGATCGATACGGGCACGCTATCAAAGCTACCATGAAGACCCCTTTTAGTGACGGAAGCATAAGGCCAAAAAAAAAAAGTCTCCGGTTTCTGGTATGGAGCTTGCCCCAAAAGTGGTGCGGCGACGCGGCTTTTTTTTTTTTACCTGTTTTTTTAGGGGGGGGGGGGCTTCAAATGTCGGCTGATGACTGCAAATGGTGCCCGACTAAACTTAGTGCAAATATATGGGAGTCCAGAGAGGCCACATAAATCTTATTCTCGATCATAACCCCATCTAAAAACACGTTAAAATTGTGCAGCAGCAGAATTCCAGTCAAACCAGTGAGTTTGGCGGTTTTGAAACATCATCTTGTATGGAAAAAAAAAACTTTTTCATTTTGCCGACGCGCATGGCTACGGCGACGCGCGCGCATACCAGAAACCGGAGACTTTTTTTTTGGCCTAATTGATATTAGCTGTTGTTGAGATATGTTTTCACCAAACGACAGCCACAAAATGATTTCAAAACTTTTTATCCGATGGTCGAGTACACCGAGTTTCACTAGTTCGCATAGATTTTCGGAAGGGAGAGGTCAGTTTTTCGCACGATATTTCTCTTTCACGTCACGTCAGGCAACTTATCAGTTTCCATATATTCATAAGCATAAGTTCTGAGAGCCATAACAGGAAGGAATTGAAGAGATATGGCAATGAACCTCCGGACTCGGGGCTTCCAATTCTGAGCATTTTGGATGATATTGGGCTCGATAGTGGCACTATTTTACCATGTTATGGAGGGATCGTTTTTCAAGATGGCTACTTTTCCGCTTTGAAGAAAATAGGGGTCGTATTCTTTGGGTGAGAATATCTCGAAAAGTCAATGGTCATCCCACCAAAAAAAAAAAAAAAGGAAAGATGACACATTGATCATCATTTTGTCTGTGCAACTTGAATACCTGTTAGAGTTCTGAGTATTTTTTTTTTTTTTATTTGAAGTATGCGCATTTAGCACTGGTGTCTATGGGATTTTTTTTTGCAGGGTTGCACCCTGTAAGCGCCGTGGACGGCTCCTACTAGACTGCGCATGTATGTTTCTCTGCGAGTCGCTCCCATTTTCCACCGGTGGAAAATGAGTGCGCCCTCTTGTGACTCAACAGTACAGTGACCGCGCTCCACGAAACTTGCAGCCAATCAGTGATAAGGCAAGGGAAAGGTCGAACAATCCAATCACATTTTAAAAAGGGGGCGGGGTTTTAGGACAACTAATTAGTGTAAGTGAGATAGTGTGAGTAATGCTAATCAGCACTAAGGGAGATTGGAATCAGCACTGTCGCCACTGACAGACCGGTGCTGATTGGCCAGGGGGATGCATCGGTAAAACCGCTCGGATGACAAAGGTCTGTAACAATACGTTATATTTTGGGGTTGCCTTTGCATCGGGGGGGGGGGGGGGAATACGCCTGTCATTTACTTTCAAAATCACAAATAATTCAAAATTTGTGACTTTAACATGCATAAATGTGGAATTTTTAGTTAGTTTGTTTAGATGTCTTATTTTAACTTCAGCACTTTAAAATCAAATTCTATGTTGGTTGAAATTTTGAAAATAATACAGGGAGAGCGTTTTCAACCGTGTGATAGTATGGTACGCTGACTAATTTTCACCAAACCCAATTACCATTCATAATAGCAAATTATAGCGTTCTAGACAAAACCGCTAGGGCCTAAACGGGAACATTTTTTGGAATGTGTTACAGGCGCAATTTTCCATTTTCCTGGATGTCATCCGTATCTTACTTATCCTTTTTTCCAGGGCCGCGGTATGTCCCTAAAGCAGCGGGTTATACGTCAACTTGTTGGACAATAACTTCTTTCTTTTCTTGCACCAAGTATACGCCTAGTACATGGCAGGTTTATTTTGCGACCCGCGCATTGTACATGCGACTCAAAATCTCGAGTGGATGAGCTGAATATGCTTTTGAGATCAGCTTGTTTATTCTTTTACCACAGTAAGAACAGTTCAGATGCCATCAGATTTTAGAAGTTTACTCCTTAGTTCGCTGACCAGATATCAAATCCATATTTGAATTTGAATTTGAATTTGTGTTATTCCGCATGAAACAATCTTGGGTGTTTGTACTCTTCGATATGCAGGCCCACCAGCACTATAACCTCTTGAACTGTTTAAATCTAATCGTTATATTTAAACCAAGGCTATTTTTGCTCTGTCGATCTTCGCATCATTCATGAAAATGTTTCAATTGTGTTACTCTTTGATAAGTTATTGAAGCTTGAAATTTAATCATTAATTGTATATGTATTGATACCCCTGTTTGCATGTGAACGTTTCACAATCTTCTTAATGTTTAAAACTCATGACATAATTACATTCATTTATTTCAAATAGCTATCGCGCCGTAAGGTTGTAAACAAAGTTGTTAACGTTAAAAAGTGTACACGTTTAACATTAGAGACACACTCTTTGAACAAAATTGGTTCGGTTAACTTATTCCTTATGATGGGACTTGCGGTTTGGCCGAAGTCAATTTAGCGTGATCGGCTGACTGATAAGGTTTACGCACAAAACCCCGATCCAACGAGGTTTTTGTATAGAAAGCTGCCGAACCACATTTTGCGAGAGTGTATCCGTAATGCTGAGCTGCCAAAGTTACCAATGGCATCCCTACATTTTCTCGCGAAAATAGGACCCATATTTGGACCCTAATTTTATCAAATCTGCTCTTAGATATTAGCCCAAAAGCTAGGGAGATGATCCTCGGCTATATTCGCACGATTCCACCGATTTTAAACTAGACGGTCTCGTTTTTTACAAAAAAATTGTGGGGGCACAAATTAACGACTCGCGTAGAAATGTTTGAAACCCTAATCAAAATTATTGCGCCCGCTGTCGGTTTTATTGCGCCACTTCTGATATATCTTCTGTCTAGCGCGCCCCCCCCCCAGCCACCCCCACCACCCCCCACCACCACCACATCGAAAAATATTAGTAATTAAATACTGTTTAAAAATTTGCTCGTTCATTCAGACATTCATGAAGCATATTCAAACTGATTGGATGTTTCCAAAGTGTCTTTCCCATTTGCAAATTGTTTTAAAGCCCATGGGGGCATGCAAATTGTGATTTGGCCGGCGTATGAAAATCGGGTCTTTTTATTGGACAATCTTAAAAGGTAGAACCTAGGAGCCTAGCAGATTTTTTTTATTTCCGTTTAAGAGTAAAGATTTCCCTTACAAAAACACCTAATTATTTTATATTCCCTGACGTGCCTTTTTGTGCGCACCCCGCCCCCCCCCCCATCGCCCATAAATAATAAAACGTCATTTCAGCCGGGTTTTGTTACTTTTGTAGTAGCTTGACCTCCCCCGCCAACAACTAAAACAAAAATAGGCAAAATACTAACAACCTTCCATGGATATCAAGTGTCTCACATCTTTCAAGTTTTATTTATTGTTTAATTCCTTAGTCTTATTGACATACAAATATTTAAACCAATTCATATAAACAAATACAAACGATTCCAAATGAGGAAAAAAGTTAGGCAGAAGGCCAATAAATTTGAGAAATTAATAATCACTTTATACTATCATAGATTATTACATAAGCAACGACTACATGACTGTACACGGTAAAGCCCGGTTTTTGTATTTCGCCATTTCGTGAATAAGATTTTAAAAAGGGAAGATAAAACTTGGGAATGCCCCCCCCCCTCCTAAAAAAATTCCTAGATTATTTTGAAACATTTCAGGACTATATTTTGTCTAATTAAGCTATTATGTGAAAAAAAATATTTGATGCGAGGCAAGTTCAACACTCGATATATATTGCGTTTATCCTTTTTGTGAGGTTAGTTAATTATTAATAAGAAAATGAAAAGACATGCAAAACCACCAAGAAAAAACAATTGTGCATACGAATTAAAAAAATAACAAGTAAAAAAGTGCAATGAAATAAATCACAAAAGGACAAACACAAATGTAATTTGAGTGTCACTTATACCTGTTGCAATGCATTTTGATGGATAGAAGTTCCTGAACAGTTTATTCTTTAAATTTTCCTAAAAATAAACGTTCTTGTGTTTTCTTATAAACATACAATGGAAAAAAGTCACGTTTTAGTTAAACTGACGTCTTGTTAATGACGTTAAATTTAAATAAAGTTACATTTCTTCAGTTTTTAAACAATAAATTAATCCTTTTTGAAATCTTTCAAAACTCTTATGACTTAAATTGGTTTCTAAAATATGCACTTTCAATATCAAATTAAATTTATAGAGCAAAATTCTCCATTGTCAACTGAACAAAAAGCAGATAGAAAACCTTAGGCGATACCTCATTTATAATTTACCGAGAAGATCCAATCGAACGCATTAAAGATAAGGAGTATGAAATTATTAACTAATTGAAGCAATAATTTTGGATGACCCAGGACCGATCAAAGGAATACCCCTTCTCCCAGACATGTCACTGCTTAAAAGCCAGTGACAAATTATTACCCTTACAATAATTTTCAGCAAGTTTCCATTATTGTCCATTGTTAACTGTCTGTTGCAGTATCCGGTTTAAGATTATTTTAGAGGCATAAATAATTTAATGAAATCAAAATTACTTTTCATTTTATTTTAGTGCTGTTGCCTTAGTGTATATGATTTATCATTTCATATTGTGCAAGCTAGTTTTTTTTTAACTCAAGTTTCCGACGAGGGCATCCTTGTCCAGTAGAGCAGCTTCGTCATTGTCCAGGCTCGTCCAAGCTTGGTGGTCCTCATGTCCTAAACATGACAAAATAAGCAAGCTAAATAAAAAAAAAATACATATATTAGAAAATCAAGCCCTGTGGATTTTGTAGGAGGGACAATCCTCATACCCTGGTCTTTTTTCGTTTTCAAAGTAAACTCACCTCAAGAATCAGTAATGGCCAGGCCAGCAGGCGGTGTCAGTCCATCGTCGGTCCTCCCAGCTTACGATGGCTTGAGGCAGGCTCATCCTCATCTCAGCAAGACAATTCCCTCATCAGTCAGTGGTCCTCATTTCTCTACAAGGATTCAAATGACGAAAAAAAATTCTGAAATATTATTAAGAAATATGTGCAAGGAGAAAGAAAACTTCGATTTTTACCCCAAAAAGCAACAACAGTCCACACCTTGCCTCTGTCTAACCACGTTGCTGCTGGGCTAGCCAATATTCTCATTAATGCATTATTCATGATCTCCAATCAATCATTAAACATAAACCCATTCGTGCTGCGTGTAAGATATTTTATCGTTCAGTCGATAAAATTGACTATACCAGCACTCGTTGTGGAAGAACACAGAAAAGCGCCAATCACCAATTTTGAGTTCTGTGGCTAAGAGGAAGCCTACATGTAAACTAACTTCAAGAATCAGTAATGGGAAGCCCAGCAAGCAGGTCATCCGTTCATCTGTCGGTCCTCCTCCCTGCTTCCGATTCCTCGAGTTTCTGTGTGATGAGGCTGTTGGAGCCTTGGAGGGTTGATTTTCGTCCAGACAAAGCAGCCTAGCTCATCCATGCAGTCTCAACTTTTAGATCATCAGTTTCTTTGAAGAAAGCTGCAACTCTTTCCTAAGTGAACAGGGTTACGAAAACACTGGGCCTAGCCCATTTGTTACTGAAGTGAAACATTCCAAAGCATTATGTCTAAGCCTACTTGTAATAAGGCCACTTGTTACCAAATAGAAACTAAACGATTCTACCCATGTTTCCACTATTTACTTTTAAAAACAGACATGATCTTTTTTTGTCATAATGCACACGAACATGTGCCGACACCGATAACGGCAGGTTGCCAATAAGTTGTACCCTTTCACAATGTACTTTTTTTTTTGGGGGGGGGGGGGGGCAATTAGGTCTTTTTGAAGGCACTTCTCGACAATGCCAACAAGATCGATGTTTTTGAAATGCCGCTGTATATAACTGAAATTCAGTCATTTTCTAAACAGATATTTTGTTCATTATGGTGTAATTTTTTTTCTCGTAATTTCGTCAATTTCATTTTCTTTCGCTGCCGTCATTTTCCCACCGTTTGCCAACATTCGCTTTCCGACTTTTTGAGGCAAGTACATGTACATGTATTTACTTCTCTCGTTGCGGATGATTAATTTTTATGCCGTTATTTTCTTCATTTTGATTGTTATTTCCATAACCCATTTTGTTTTCTTTGTAGCAAGAAAAATAATACTGATTTCGGGTATTTTTATTCTCACTAACGTTGTGATGTTTTCCTCGCGTTGTTTTCATCATTTTCCTAGCGTGTAGGCCTACACGTAGAAAGCGGAGTAATTTCTTTTTTCGGAAAAAAAAATTCGCTTACGATGTGATTTCCGATGTGGGTATTATTTATTCCAATACTGCCTAACATTTTAAAGTTGATTTCGTATTTTCGTCAATTTGAGATTTGCCTCTTCAAAACCGTAACATTTTTTGCCCGACGTATTGCAGTTGAGAAAAAATAACACTGATTTCAAGTATTATTCCTTTCAACATCTGCTTCGATTGTGCTTAACGATTTCACATTTTCGTAGCCGCAACGATTAATTTGATTTAAAAAAAAAATAATTTTGTCTATTGTCAGAGACAACAGACGGATACCATTAAAAAATCACACCACACAGAGAGCAATGCACACAAAGGCAAAAAATCAAACATACAACATTTACAATGAAACAAAATACAATCTGTTCTAAACAGAACAAAAACTACTTAGCAAGTTGATAACAGTGTTGGAGCAAAGGCTTTGACCCTCAAGGCCAAGGCCAAGGCCAAGGCTTTGACCCTCAAGGCCAAGGCCAAGGCCAAGGCTTTGACCCTCAAGCCTCGAGGCCAAGGCCAAGGCTTAACCCTCAAGGCCAAGGCCAAGGCCAAGGCCCTGTTTTATGAAATGACCACTGATATAGAACTAATTATAGTCACATGAGTGACACATCATCACGCAAGGGCGGATCCAGAACACAATGTTGGGGGGGGGGGGCAAAGAAATTTTGGTCCACCTCAAAAAAGTGGGTCAAAAAATTACGGCTTGGGCTTCGGGGCCCGCTTAAGGGCCCCGAAAAATTTTGGATTCGAGATGCTCTTGTGGTGCGATTTGAGGCAATTTCTGACCATTTTAACCGATGTTTTTTGAGGAAAAGATGGTGGTGTACTCATTGCCTGCCTTTATTACGACGTTACGGTTTTTTTGGGGGGGGGGGGGCATGGCCCCTTTTGGCCCCCTGGATCCGCCATTATCATCACGAATTGCTCGTTACGAAGAACAACATTTCTTTAATTGCAATCAACATGCTCGCATAGGCCTACACCGTTTTATGACTGCACTGTATCTATTAAAGTATAAGTTCAGGTCTTCAATATGGTTTAACTAAACAAAATAATGATTTACTTCTATATTGACACACAATTCTCTCAAGTGTAACAAAAGGGGGATCCAAGAAACTGATTTGGGAAATTTCTATTTGCTGGCCCAACATGGTCAGAAATATCAGCATTATCTGAAACAGATACATGCAAATCTTTAGCACTTATCAGGGAGATATATACAACCAATCAGATCGATTCCATAGTTATATGCAATTAAAGTGATCATCTCATTAGCCCCACAAGTGTATGGAATATTGTTGCATCAAATCTACTACAATGGTAACAAAGTGTGATGCTACAAAAGTGGAAGTGTGCCCAACACACAAATCTATAGGGTGCTTCCCTCCTCCATGGTAATACGATTAAAATGGTAACAGCAAAATTTCGAACAGATTTATCTGGAAAATGCAAAATTCTATGGGCCTTGAAGAGCCTTGACTCAAAATTGCAAGGCCCTGAACCCTCAAGGCCAAGGCCAAGGCCAAGGCTTTTGCCCTCAAGCCTCGAGGCCAAGGCCAAGGCCCTAAAATCCAGCCTTAGGCAGCCTTAAGGCCAAGGCCCAGCATCAAGGCACTACATCACTGGTTGATAATAAGCAGGACAAGTTCTTCTCAGAACTAATATCTTCTAAGCAGTAGTTATTACCACATGGTGTTACCGCAAAACCGAAACGATACCGATACCCCACCATGCAAAGCCTCAAATCTTATAAAAATACAATCTACTTTTGAGTTTTTTCCCCCAAAAGTCATTCTCTCTGTAAGCATTTTTTTACTCACAGATAAGTTTACCTTTAAATGCTTAATAATGAACCGAGCTTAAAAGTTCTTCACATAATAAAAATGTCTTTTATATAAATTTATGCAAAGTATAATTAACCAAAGTTATGACTTTTGATTTTACTACGATCATTAAAATATGGTCAACTGTCAACTGTGCCCTCACTGCTCACAGACTATAGCGAAGTATAGACAATGCGGCGCTTTTACTGACGCTGTTAATCCCAGATTTTTTTACCTTTTAGTGTTACTATAAGAGCGTATATGTCACCTTAACAGAGAGCTCATTTAGGAATTAGTGTTACTTGTTAACCAACAGTTTTCTCTGTATTAGACAACCAAATGAGTAACTCAAAGGAGAAATATATACTTGAGGAAAACATGTATCTATGCCGATCTTTCCAAATCGGACTCACATAAATGATGTAGATTAAGTTTAAACCTTTACAAAAACACGAAGAAATGTCGCATGCGATAGTAAATATGTCGCATGTCTTAAACAGCCATTTCCCTATCGCTTTGTTGATTACACTTAAGTTGTACCCTTTCACATGCATAACCTGGCTATTTCTGGCCTTTTTGAAGGCAAACTTCTTGACAATGTCACAAATTGCAGTTATTTCCGTGACGAATAATACTTAAAAGATGTGGTGTATGCCTAGAACTCGGGGGAATGCCTTTAACATTGCTGCTTTAATTGAAATTCAGTCATTTTCTTTACATCGATATAATGGAGTTTTTCCTTTATTTCCGTCATTTTTTTACCTTTTTTTTCTGCCGTCATTTTCCCCACCGTTTACCAAAATTCGCTTTCCGACTATTTTAAGCAGTGTAGTACCGTACCGGAAGTGGCTGCCGATTATAATTTGAATTTTTTTGTTAACATTATTTCGCGGGTCATTTTTCCTTAGCAAATTTTTGCACGACATAGGGCCTAGAAGTTTAGAAAATTACCGATTTTCAAATATTAATTTCTTTCGCTGCCGCTGTTAATCTTTTTACCGTAATTTTCGTCTCTTTAATTTCATTCTTCCGCAATCGAATTTTTTTTACTTTGTAGGTAAGAAAAATAACACTGATATCAAGTATTATTTCTCTCACTAACGCTGTGATTTTTTTAGCCGTGTAAAATATGTTTCGTCACTTCACTTATTTGCCGCGTTGTTTTTCGGTGTAATTTTCGTAATTTTCCTGTAACTACCTGTAGAAACAGAGTGCCGGGCTGCGAGAAGAAACTCCACGTACTATGTGATTTTCGTTGTAATTTATTAAGGCTGATTTGATTTTTGTTTCCACGTTTCGTCACACGCGTTTAGTCAACTATTTCGGGTAGGTATCGCAGTAAAGGTGAAAACAACACTGATTTCAGTTATTTTCGGCGTAAATTTCATCATTTTCTCAGCCACTTGTTGGAAGCGGAGAAGCATTTCTGTAAGTAGAAAATCCGCTCATGATTTGATTTTCACTGCAATGTATTTTACACACATTTGACTTTTTTTCTTCAATTTTCGTCGTATTCGTTGTCAAATATTTCGAGAATAGGTATCTCAGTAAAGTTAACCAGTAACAGTGATTTAAGCTATTATTTCTACCAATTATAGCGGTAACTTTGGCGTAAGAATTCGTATTTTCGTCGTTTTCATGTTTTATAATAATGCAAAATAATATGCAGTCTGATTTTAGATCCAATATTCCGCAATTTGGAAAGTGTCCGATGAGGGCATCCTTGTCCAGATAGAGCAGCTTCGTAATTGTCCAGTCTCATCCAAGCTTGGCGGTCCTCATCTTCTAAAACATGACAAAAAGAGTAAACTAGCATAATTTAGAATTAATATTTAAAGAGGAAATCAAGCATCGTAAGAGGTGACATAGTATTAAAGGA